ATTTCCCATGTTCCAGTGAATCTCATCATACCTATGCCCATGAGGTCAGGCCTCATTAAACTTTGTACATTATAAAACAAAATAAACAACAACAAAAAGTAGAATGAAAATCTGTGAGGAGGAGGGGGAATTATTGGGGTAAAAGGATGGGGTATGTGAGAGTTATCAGAATGTATTATATGCAGCTATTAAATTGTCAGATATTAGATACAAGTAACAAATAGAAATAAGTAGGAGATATAGACTTGAATGGAACCTCCAAGTGTACTGAGTTTAGCAGGGTTGTAGAGGGAGGCATTTTGAGCCCACCAGTAGAGATGGGGACAACACTGCACAGTAAAGCCACAAGGCCACTGCATGGAAAGCCCACATGATTTCTGTGTCCTTTGCAACCTTACCCCTCAAAACTGGTCCACATACTTGCAGCTTTGGCACTGATAAAATTCCGATGCATTGCCTCCGCCTACTGAGGCAGCATCTATTGTTTATCAAGACAATAAGTACATGATGAGTGTAGACATAAAAGCCATCTATCCTAGTGAGTTCAGCTCAATACTCTCTAGCGCTGCTTTGCAGATAATTGTATATGTCATGATATCTCTGAGGGTGGGGATGAGGGTCAAAACAAAAATAATTACGTATTTGGGAAACATTTGCTTATTAAGGGAATACTGTCCCTTAATTATTAGTTTTACAAAGAGACTGTGGTGTAGCTGTGCATTTTAACGAAACATGATATTGCATTTTATGCAGTTAACCATTTTTCTCTTCCAGGTCCCTAGTGAATCTGATACATTTATAGCTTCAGGAGCCCGATGATGTCACATGTAGGAAATGAAATATAGTATCAAAGAATTGTAGGCAAGTTAAAAAACCTCTGACATCCTTCTCTAATGTGAAGATAAAACTGTTTGAAATTAATACATTATTTGTATGCAAACTGGGGCAGTGGGGTTGCTGAAAACAGTTTATTCTCTTTCAATCCTGTTTACTCTATTAATATCCTGAGCAAACTCTTTTACATAGATAGTGCCAAAGCAAACTTTTGCTTAGCTGGTGTCTGATTTTTCATGATTCTCTGAATTAATAAGGTTTATTATGTTCCAAATAGATACACTGCCTTGTGCATAGTTGGCACCAGACTTAATTATATCCCACAACTAAGTCCTCAGTGATCAACAGAGATGCGTTGCCTTAGGTGCCTGATTCTTGATAGGATGCCATGGATGTCTGTTAATAGCATTCATATCTCAATCACTCTAAACCATTTGGGGGCTAACTTAATATCTGTTGCACAACCACACATTTGCAGAACTTGGCTGAGAACTTCTTTTCTTTTATGTCTTCACCTGTAACTGTATATTGAACAGAATATTTTACAGTCTTCCTGTAGAATCCCAAATAAGGTTCCAATATCAGTATCTAACACCTATAGTTTATAAGTGTCATGTAACAGGAAAAAAGTCTTTCCCTGTGTGATTAATAATTGTCACATATTAGATCATATTATCCCCCTAGGCATTAAACACAATCACCAGGGACCTAAAGAAAAAAAAAAAAAGGGCAGAACAGGAGCCTATGGAGACCAAGGTTGGAGCAACTCAATCATAGAATAAAGAATGTTGGCATCCAGGGAGCTGTAAGGCCTGGTGAAGGAATCAGTCCACAGTGAATGTAGAAGTACATACATGTTACATCTTAGTGTAGGATTTCTCACCTCCAAGTCTTTGAAAGGATACATTTCTGTTTGAAATAACAAAGTTTGTGGTAATTTGTTACAAAAGTTCTGGAGAAGCTGCAAGAGTCCTCTACCTCCATTGATATTTGAATTGAGTCTGCACCTGTGGCAGAGAGGACCAAATAGCTGTGATTTCGGCTGTTTAACTTGTTCTTTTCCACCTGAGGAGAAGAAAACACTGGAAGAAGAAAACCTGTGCTAAGGGAATGCAGTACTACTCAAGCTAAACTCTTGGGACTAAGGGAGAGAATTGTGTTTTCCTCAGGCTGCAGTTTCCAGAGACACCCAGAAACAGATACCTTGTAAGTTGAAAATGGAGGGGGGCACTGGGTGAGAAAATAAAGAACAGGAAAAGAGAGGCACTCTTTTTGGTAACATCAATTGTGACATGAAAATTTGCAGTGTCCTGTGTAGCTAGCATGTTCCTTTAGTCTCACTAGCACAGCCTTCCTGCGTTCAGGCTTTAGTGGGATGTGGATGGTAATTCAGACTCTTGGGATTCGGCACTATGAGTGTTGGGTTCACCAGCTTCCCGAAAAGCTCTGGTGCAAAGGGCCTCTGGTAGCAAAGCCTTTAGTAGACTGACAGCAGGGCACTGACTTGTGGAAATACTTTTCTTTGTCTTTCTCCAAAATATAGGGCGGGTATAGGGTGACTTCCTTACGTTCCCAAGCACTTTCAATTTTCCTATACTTACTTACATTTTTTGTGACTATTTTCCTACATAAGACTCTTTTTGAAATAATTTACACTAGGTCCCGACTCTCCTAGTAAGTAGCCTTTCATACATGGATTGGTTTTATTTTCCCACAAGTGTTTATCACCATATTTAAAAGCAATCACTTGAAAACTATCTGGCACATCATATATTTCCATCAATGCTTTCATTAAATCAGGTTAGCCTTCAACCTATCATTCATATATTCTTTCATTTTCAATCACTTACATATTCATGCACAAACTCTTTTCTATTTCCATTATTCATTTCCCAATCCATTCACAGATACTTACTAAATACATCTTTGACATTCAGGAGTGATGGAAAGAAAAGTGGTAGACAGAGGTTCAAATTAAAGTTATTCCCACTCCTAGTTATTTAATTTTTGGTATAATTAATTCTTTGATATTTGTTTCATCTTAACATAATTTAATGAAGATATAGCTGGAGCAGTATACAGAAATTGCCGATACTAACTCAAGAAATTAGAAGTTTGACTCTTTCAAACCATTGGACACCATAGGGCTCAACTAAATTTCTGAAAATGAGTATTTGATTTTAATGCCAAACATTTAAAATGAATCCTATAAAAAAATGAAGCCTGTGAAAGTTCACTATTACAAGACTATGTTGAAGATGAATGATGGCATTTGGAAGTGAGGGGTGCCATTTACTTCTTAAATCTACAAAACTAAAAATACCTATTACTTGCAATTTTTTTTTAATTCTGTGGCAAAGTGATACAAGATGAGATTTTTTTCAACTCTCTGAAAACTGCCTGCAATTGGAGGAAAGCCTTACATTCAAGTGACTACTATTTAATGACATTATTGAGTCACAGAAACAAACACGTTTTCTGAGTGGGTGCTTGCTGTATGGTACTGTCAAGAGTTTCAACCTCTATATAAATCCACGGTAAAAATAACCTATGAAATAAACAGATATTGATCATTTCATTTTCACAGTTCCTACTAGGAACGTGTTTGCTTTCATAGATGTAATGCAACATGGACCGTATTTTCTAGTTTTCATGTGTTTGCCTGTTGGGCCTGTGAAATGTCTCTCAGCATTTTCCACTGAGGTATTGGTCCTCAAAATAATAAGTTTAACATATGAAAGTGTAAATTATTTCAAAAGGAGTTTTATGTAGGAAAATATAGGATTGACTGTCAATGCCTCTGATGTTGAGGTGTAGATTGAATAATGTCCTAATATTTACTGGAGTCTTTGGGTACATAAGGTTGTAGGGGAAACTCCTTTGAGTGGCTAATCCTATGATGAAAGGTTAGTGTTGTAGAGATGAGCCCCAGCTAGAATGGGAGAAATATTTCTTCTCACAGGGATTATTTGTGATCTAGTACAGGACACACAGCTGGGAGCCATGGATACACTCATAGCACAGAGAACTGTGCATTGTGAGTACACAGTGAGAGATATTCTTTCCACTGAACACTAAGGAAATAATGACAGGGTGCACTGTCTAATGGCTTTGATTGTGTGGCAAAGGACAAGCTGTGTGTGGCATATGGGAGCAAGTGTTACCACTAGGCAGAGTGGTAACTCCTTCTGAGGGTGGTGGTCTCTGAGGAGACAATATACTCTGGAAATCTCCACAGCTGGTCAGTCAAACTCTAGGGTTCATCTTGAGGAGGCTGAAATGATCTCTTTTGTAAAGGTTGACTTTCCTGTAAGTCACCCATCAGTCATCAACAATGGGCTCAATACTATCACTTGCCTCTGCATTTACAGAATGATGTGGATGCACACACACAGTTGAGAACAAGTCCCAGGTTTCTGCTTCTTTCTCATTAGCTCTGCAACTTTCGATACTTAAAAATCTAAGACAGCTGGAAAATGCAAAAGGATTCAATGTCCTTAAGCGTTCCTACACTGACTTACTTTTTGGTTTTAATTACAACATTAAACACACATGTTGATCATTTTTAAGCCCAGTTCAGATTGCAAGCATTCGTTGAGTAGTTTGAGTAATGGTGGTGAAAAGATATATGGTTTATATTCATTTCTTTTCAATTTTTCTATAGTATTTAAATCCACTAGAGAATACTAAAATCTGTCAAATTAGAATCTAAGTCAGTGGTTCTCAACCTGTGGGTCATGACCCCTTGGGTCAAACTACCTTACCACAGGGGTCACGTAAGACCATCGGAAAATACAAATATTTACATTATGATGGATAACAGTAGCAGAATTACAGTTATGAAGTAACAACAAAAATAATGTTTTGCCTGGGGTACCCACAACCATGAGGGACTATACTAAAGAGTAATAGCACTAAGAAGGTTGAGAACTACTGAATTAAGGAGATGCCTGAAATTTCAGTTTACTGCCTCAAGAATAATTGAGAATGGCTGGGTTAAACAGGGGCAATGAAAAACTCAGTTCCATTTTTTGAAAGAAAGCTGGCAACAGAAATAAACATATAACTGATTAAAATGTTGCTATGTTGTATGTGACACAAATAGAGCTGGATACCTTTTCCTTGGTACTCAAGGGAGGAAAAAAGCCCAGGACATCAAATTTCTCCAACAATTTGGAATTTTATTCCATCCATATACATGCATAGTAACAACATTTGTTGAGAAATTATTTCTATCAGAAGTAGAACATTATCTTTGTGATCACCAGGTGCAGTATTGCTACTCTTATATTTAAATAGATCTTATATATATGAATTAAATTCATACTTGCAGCATCGAGTTTAGGGTTTCAATTTAGACTGTGCCTTTCAAAAGATAAAACCGATTACTACTACTCCATTACTTACAATACTGCTTCCAGTAATTTTGTTCATCCTTTATAAAGTATTGCATTTAACAGCAAAGGTTTAAAAACTGAGACAGGACTGCATCGGTGAAAGAAAATACAAGTACTGTACAAGAAAGAAAAATGCCAATCTTCATTTAACATACATGTTTAAGCTTGAGAAAATGGACAGAAATATACGGCTACGTACGAATGCAAAGCCTAGTGACATAGAGACTGTATTTGCTAAAATATAAAGTGCAAATGGAGCCTGATTATCCACAAACTGAAATCTTAAGGCGAACTTATAGCATGTGTATTTAGAACATGTTTGCAGGTTATATTTTAGCATATACACATATCTGCAACAGCATATAAGAAAAAATCAGGATACACAAGTGCTTTGGAAGCTATTTCTAAAATGCTTTTCTGTATTGTTTTGTGACTATTTTCTTTAAAAGCTACTATACAGTGCAAACCATATGTGCTACACAATAACTATACAATAACATTACAAATGACTTTAATATAAAGTTTTTAAATAAAAAATAACATAACCACAGCTATGAATACTGCTGGTAAAATAAATTAATTTTTGTTTTGAAAATGGCACCAATAATACACTTTACTAATGGTCTGTAATGAAATTACATTGTAAGTCTTCAACTCAGCCATAATGAATGTCTTCTGATTGCCAGATGTAATTCAAATGTAATTCAAACAGAGTCTTTGTTTTTTGTTTTTGTTTTTTTCAGGACTGTTTAGAAGAACATACTAAACACTGGTACCAAAGGTGACTGCTTTCTTCCCTCTTTTTTTTTTTTTTTTTAATTCAGTTAGTTCATTTGACATGTTCTGCTGCATGTGATGAGCAATAGAACTTCTTGTGAGTTATAAAGTTTGAGAGGTTATTGAACTGGATATCGCATAGCCGGCAGTATTTCCCACTGCTGGGAGCCTGGGTGGAACCGTTCACTCCCTTTGCTATGCTGGACAACTGTTCTTCTGCCGAGGGAATTCCTGGGGAGACGTTCTCATTTGTAGCTAATGGGTTTTCAGAGATCCACGAAGGGGATTTGTGGTCATCGTCGTGCTGGGCATTCTGGGAAATGTTCTCTTGCTGTGGGTTACCCGTAGGCCTTTCATCTTGCTTCAGTCCACCATTCACTATGACCATGCCTCTGTTCTTGGGCAGCAGTGGCAGAGAATCTTTCTTGGGCACGGCACACCCATTGGAGGAGGCCTGGCCTTTTGGAGACTCGTTTTCTGCATTTGTGCTTTGTTCTACGTCGGTGTTGTGGAGGGCAAGAGAACCGGGGATGTAATCGCTTGGCTTTATGCCATAGTATGGAGAAAGCTGATCAGCTCCTTTCGTCTTCTTTATTGCTCCAGGGTAAAGGCATTGGGGAAGAAACAGGTGTTTGTTGTCTTCCTTTGTAGCGATGAGCTGAGCGGCTTCGCTGAACACTTTCAGGCCCTGTAAAGTCGCTAAATGGGATGAAAACAAGTTTCCATTGGGCGAAGGCTGCTTCGGATTCCCGTTCTTCTCACATTTGATCATGTTTCTTTCAAAGCCGACGTCGGGGCTATTCCGTTCGCTTTCTGAATTAGGGAACGCTTTGCCATCAAGCTGACTCAGGTCGTTCCGCTGATGCGCAGTGACAGGGCAGAAATTCTGCTTGTGGGCCAGGTAGTTCTCCACCTTATTGAAGCTGATCTTGCATACGGTGCACTCGTGGTAGTCTAGCAGCCTTTTGGGAGAGGCGGTCGTCCGCTCAGACTGCGATAGACACTTTTTGCTGAGGTCTATGGGTACGTCCATTTCTAGGCAGGAAACACTGGAATGGGTCGTGTCACATTTGGGAACCGGAACGCATTTGTTCATGGCCAGCGAAGTTTCCAAGTGCTTGGAGACAATTCCTGGGAAGATGTCGCATCTCGGGTGGTAGCATTCTCCTAGCCCTTCGGTGGGCTCTTGAGTGGAGCTACAAGGATTGCTGAGGTTGGATACATCAAGAAACCTCTGCTGGACCAGGGGCGGCCTTTGCTCCTGCTCAGGTAGGCACATCTCATACATCTTCCTTCTCTTGCGCGTGCGCATGGTTCTCTGCATGGCGGGCACTTTGTTGGAGGCAGATCTCTTTAGCGGAGGGTCATGGCGTGTTGCACAGTAATACTGTTTGTGGACCATGTATGTTTCGTGCCTGCTGAAGGTGATGTTACAAGCTTCACAGGTGGTCTTATTTGGGTCGCTTTCCCCATCCACTAAGGGACCGCTGGGATTTTTCACATCAATGGGCTTTCCATTCATTTTGTCATCGTTGCTGCTGGCGGTGGACAGCTTTTTGGCTTGAGTGGAAAAGTCCTTCTCATGGCCTTTTCCGTTTGGCCCAATCAAATCTAAGACGGTGGAAGAGTTGATGCATGATGTTTGAAGAAGTGGTGTTTCTGGGTCAGAGGAATGAGCAGCTGGGTTAAGAAGGCTTATGGAAGCCTGGGCAGTATTGGGACTCACAGCTTCAGGCATCTTTTCTGAAACCCCCGGAAACTCAGGGGACTTGGCCATCTGCTGCCACCGACTGCTGCAGTAGTGTTTTTTATGAACTAGGTAGTTATCCAAATTATTGAATGTTATGTTACACTCAAAGCATGTAGCCCCTTTGGGCATCAGAGGGCTGTAAATTACCGGAGGGTAGCTACTACTACCGTGCCTCAATCGCCGATGGACCAGCTCGGACATCTTGGCTAAGATCTCTGAAGCTTGAGGGACCATGGTGATATCTTGGGGGAAAGCAAACTGAGACAGGAAAGGTCCCACGGGAAAAGAGGGCCCGATGTTGGGTTGTACTGGAGAGGAAGCAAGTCTCGGGCTGGAGGGCTCAGACTTTATTTTTGTGTAAGAAAAGCTCTGCTTGTTGGCTGCCGGCTGTATCTCTGGTCTCTGGTTGCTGAGGAAGAGCTGAGTCTTTTTCTCACATTTGTCCAGTTCTGTGTCTGAGCTTGCATCCTTAGTCTGCATGGCCTTTTGGCTCTGGGAGAGGTCGCTTCTGGCCAGCAAGTCTGTGGCTGGCTGTAAGCTGTCTTCGGTTCCACTAGGAGAGTGCTCCAAGTCGCTTTCTCTGGGAAGTTTGCCACCCCCGGGGATGTGGAGGTCCTGGTGCTGTAGTAACTCCCTCTGAGTCTGGAAGCCAAAATGGCACTGGTTGCACCTGAAGGCAGCTTGAGTGAGATGAGAGAACAGGTGTTGGTGGAAATTGATCACCGAATCAGCAGTGTAGCTACAGACTGTGCATTTTAAACTTGCCCCTGGGGGAAGGAACTCCTCCATTTTCACTCCTGTAAAGACATACAAAGTAGGAAAGCTGAGAACCACACCTGTCTGCTTCCCAGTGATGCACAACTTGACTAGTGAGCTTGTGTTTGTCGACACAACAGACAGAAATCCTGCAGCTGCTCCTATGTGATACAGACATTTTAGTGACATCTGCAGTTATAGTTTCCTAAGCCTATTTGTGAGTGTTATGGTATGGATGGGGAGAATTACCAGTACTTCTGTTGCATGGGCCAATAAACAAACTTCAAAACAACCCAAGAGAGTTATAATGATCAAGCTGTGTAACAATAGAGTCATGCCTAACCATCTGAGTACTATGTTCTACAACAGGAAGAAGTGAGCATTCACTAGAGTGGCTACTAGCTACTGAATACCTACACACACACACACACACACACACACACACACACACACAAAGAAAGAAACTATAGTGCATTAGACAGATGGTTTTACTGAATGTGGTTTATCTGTGTAGAAAATGGTATGTTAATAAAGTCAGTCTGGAACATGGTTGACCACTCCCTGTTTCTGACTAGTTATTGCCACAGATGGTGAAGGTATGCATCCTATAAAACAACTATTGTTCTGTTTGTTCTTATCTGCTGAGGACAGACTTGTCCTCTCTTCTCTGAACTGTGAGTTTGAGGCCAGCCTGGTCTACATAATGGCGCCAGAACAGCCAGGGCTATGTAAAAAGACCCTGCCTCAAATGAAATAAAATATTAAAAAATTAGGAAAAATTCTAAAAATATTTAAATTTAACATAATTCTGTACATTTTAAGATTATAGGAATGGGGGGTATCATAGCTAACAATAGCTGGGATCCATTTCAAACATTGGTGGGAATAGCTCCCAACTTCCCATTTTTCTTAAGGAATCAAGAGTACTTTCATGTGATAAAATTCAGTTAAGCTTTACCCACACATACTGTGGAAATTGAGAAACTTTTAATGAAAACTACCACAATAGCAGCTTCAATTGCACAGCAACTCCTTTTAAAATGTGGCTACTATTTCTACCTTAACACATGGAAAACACCATGATCAGTTCCCAAAGGTCATGTGACAAAGCAATGAAAATGAAGGGTAGTAGACAAATAGAAATAATGCTGTTTTTCTGAAGAGGAAAATGAATGTTATGATTTGGTTCATGACCTAAACACTGCAGTTGACCGATGTTGTGGAAACCAAAGTCAAGTCCTTGGGTTAAAATATGCTGCATCTAAATAGTAGACAGGAATACTGTATGATCCAGTAAAATATCTATCTGTCATCTATCTATCTGCCAACTGTCTATCATCTACCTACCTACCTACCTATCATCTATCTTCTATCTACGTATTTATCTATCTTTTATCTGCCTACTACTTATCTATTTGCATATATAATAGATATGGATATAAGCACATGCACGTGTGTGTGTGTGTGTGTGTGTGTGTGTGTGTGTGTGTGTGTGTGTAGAAAGAGTAGAGTACCCTGAAGCAACCACAGAAACAGTAGAGACCCTTACCACTGTGTGAGTTCAGGTGCATTTCTAGAGCTCGTGCGTTGGAAAAGCTCTTGGTGCACTGTGGGAAGGGGCACAGGCTGGAAATCTGATGCGTGTTATCTTCGTTTTCTTCAGACACTGGAGCAACTTCTCTTTGCCTCCCACTGCAGTAGTACATCAAATGGGCTTGCAGGTTCCGCTCGCTCCGGTACCAGATGCCACAGGATTTGCAAGGGAATATATCCTCTGCAGCAAAGCCAGAGACATATTAGCTACTGTCAGGGGGAGTGGAATCAGGGTAAAATCACATTTGTTTCCATCTTTCTGAGTCTATTCCCAGGTTCTGAGTTGGGTCCTTAAGAATTGATTGACTGACACTTTCCTAGCGCTGTGACACTTCAATAAAGTTCCTCATGTTTGTGGTGACCTCAACCATAAAATTATTTTCCTTGCTACATAATGTTGCTACTGTTATGAATCATAATGTGAATATTTTCGGAGGTGAAAGTTTGACAATGGGGTCATGATCCATAGGTTGAGAATCACTGGTATAAAGGGTTATATTGAGATTGGAAACCTAGCCTTAAACCTACCCCTGTACTGTCTGGATGACAAAGTGAAACAGAGGTGGGATTATATGGAGGAAACATAAATTCAGAGATGAGATAGAGCAGTATTTGGCAGGCTAAGGCAGCGTGGGTTGGTCTAGCCTGGCCTTTGTACTATAGACTCTGGGATTTGGAATGCTCTTCAGAGGCTTTGGGGGAACATAGGGTCACATTAGACATAATGGAATTTTGTACTTACGAGATAAATAGAGAGGGCCATTTGGGGGAGACTTCAGAGAGTTCTAAAACTCTACAGAAAGATCTAGAATTATCACTACTGAACAATGGCTATATAGATAATGGTGAAATAAGGGACATGGCTCTGTGAAACCATGAACAAGAAACAAGAAACAACTAAGGATCAGATTCTATCAGAGGGGAGATAAGAGCAACTTCAGAATGCTGTGCTGATGTCTCTTTATTATTTAACCCTTTCTTCTCAAGTTAAGTATACGTACACTATCCAAGAGACTACATAGTTAATATAGAGTATATTTCAAAAATGTCATGTCAACTGACTGATTTCAGGAAGCAAGTGATAATCTGTGCTTATATTGGGTCCCTTGAGAGTAATTATTTCCTTACTTCCAAAAGTAAACAGGTATATTCTTATATGTAATTAATATTAGACATTGAAGCATCACAACTGAGTAAGGTATACTTCTTCTTTCTTTTCCTTTTAGTAAACAAATACTTTGATTTTTCCAGGTTACCAGGCCTTCATCCAGGTTGTAGGGATTAAAAACAAAAGCTCTATGAACTTGTTGTATTTGTTTATTTGAGGCTATTCATTAAGCTTGTTACTTTAAAATAGAAAAATAATTAATAATTTTATGTCACATCAATATAATATTATGTATTCTCTATCATTAGTGTATATAATAAAATGTGATTTTTTAAATTTATATTCTTCTCTTTTTTTCCAAGCTTTGAAATTCCATGACCATTAACAAATACAAACTTTGATACTATAAAATTATCACCGAAAGCTATGAGGCTTGCCATTGCTAAATTCAGTTTAGTATTATTTCATAAGTAGAGAAAGACAGTTCTTACTGTGGGTGGCATTTAGGAATGCAATCTGACATAATTGGAAGTCCATGTGTTTTTTCCCCCTGCATTTGAATATGAAGCAAACACATCACACAGACAGACAGACAGACAGACACACACACACACACACACACACACACACACAGTCATAGCCACAAACTGAAGAAAATGTCTCTTCCCAGCTGCTTGTCTCTCCTATAAATACCCATCACCCCCACAAAGCTGGGTTACAGCACTCAGCACTTACTATTGACAATAGCTGTAGGCAAAATAGAAGCCATGGCTGCTTGCTGTGGAAGCAGCTGAATCGAGTCCAGCAGGCGGGCCGGGTACATCCCTTCTGTTAGAGTCATCTGACTGGCAGCTTGTAGCCTTGAGTCAAAATCCACCACAAAGGCAATTAGCTCCTCACCCTCTGAGATGGCCTTCGTTGTGGTACACCAAAGCTGACCCCCTGTTAAGAAGAGAGAAATGAGAGGAGAAAGCGTTGACACGGAACTACCCATGAGCCAGCTGCATCCTAGACCTATGTCAAGAGCATCTTCTCGTTATTCACATGAATATGGACTGAGAAAGGAGTTCAATCAGACTGCAGCTGTGTGTCTCAGCTGGCCCCTAGGGACAGAGGTTATTCTGGCCTTCAACAACAGTTTTAGTAACTAACAGTGGGAAAAACCTGGGGAAAATATTGATGCAATCTTTGTCAATGGCCTGCCTTCCAGCCTCTTGCCTGAATCATTAACCTGGTCATTGGTGGAGTGCCTGCATGGGGGGCACACAATTGCCAAAACTTACTCCAGACAAGCTTCTGAAGTTACGGTTCCATTAACTAACGGAAGAAGCGACAGTTTGCCTCCCTCTTCCAATGCCCCACTCCCTCTCCCCCCATTCCTCTGTCGTTCTCTCTGCTTTCCCAAAGCTTATACACAGTGAGTACACATGCCCCAAATTGCCAAACAAGCAAACAACAGTTTATAAAATCTAGGTTGTTAACATTCAATTACAGGGAATCTGACCCTCCCTGTGTAGACTGCCACCTGTGTACTTTTTTCCTTTGATGGGCAATCTTATGTAATACCCTGCGATGTCCCTTCTTTATCTCCATTTACCCTGACTGAACACCCTGCAAAAGAGGATACGCCAAAGATTCTTTTCAAAAGGCTTATTTCAATAAAGATTTGTTTAAATGAAAGGAACCTTGTCTTCAAACACAGAGATAGACTCTGCTCTGCATTTCAAATGATCACGAGCAGTGCATTAAAAAGAAAAATTAACTATGCAAGTACATCTTCTAATGTATTGGAATGTGATAGTGAACACTCATTTATTTAACATGTTTAGACAGGCAGAGCACTTATATTTTGTTATCTCCACTCTCAGGCCTAGATACATATCCCACACAGTTATGTCTGCAATAATGTGGTGTAGTTGATATTTTAGAAAGCACCCCCTCATTGTGTATGTACTGGAAGGCTGTATATTGTACTCATTAACTAAGAAAAATTGTACCCATTTTGATAAGTCACATTGCTCTGCTTATCTTTCAGCATAACTGTCATTTCAAGTGCACTTCATTTTTTCCAGCCTTGGAGATCATGGTTTTTAAACAACTTGTACAAATCTCATGGAGATAAGAACAGTCTATGACAATGGCAGAGTCAAATGGAAAACTGGAGGTGACGCTTTAGAAACATCGCGGGGCAATTAACCAAGGTCTAAAGTAAGCAAACAAAACACAACGCACGGGGGCATGTGTCTGTGTGAAAAAAGAAAAGGAAGATGATAGTCCTCAAATTTATGATCAGTTTTAAATTAAAACATGAAGATAGTAAAATACCACAGGGCAGCATGTGCCCACCCCAACCACATTTTGATGCTAATATTTCTCAAAGCATAAAGGATCGTTGTAGTTGAAACAGAGCAGATTTATTTTGTTGTTGGAAAAAAAAATTATTTTCCAAACTACTGAGGCCAAAATTACATCACTGGGGATTGAGAGGGAGTTAGAAGCCTGTGAGCTGCCATTTCCCCTGGGGCCATTCTTGCTCTGGGAACCTCTGTATTTAGATGCTCTGCCCTTTCTGATGTATACACACCTTACTACTTATGGGGGTAGACAAGCTAATAACTGTCTTCTCTTTCCTCGGGAACACAGCTTATTAAGCTGGCCTATGGAACAAGGGTGGAAACAGAAAAAGCAGTAGCTGCAGTTTGGGTTTATTTCACAGCACGGTCACAGAGCCATTAGATTTCAAGTATGGAGTTCACATTCTTGGTTAATCCAGCTCTGGTTACCTTTCATAAAAGGAAAGACAAGTTTGGTTCCAGTTCCTAGCTGAATGCATCTACTGACAGCTAATCATGCTCACACAGCAAGATAACAGCAACATACCTATGCACAGTATTAACCAAAACATCCAACAAATAACAAAGTTAAAATGAAAAATATTAGGTGTAAAACATCAACAAAGACTCACTCATATATGGCTTTTTGACATAGAGCAAAGGATTACCATCCTATATCCACACCGCCAGAAAAGCTAGGATACAAGGAAGACCCTAAGAGAGACATACATGGTCCCCTGGAGAAGGGGAAAGGGACAAGAGCTTCCAAGCAATTTGGTGGCATGAGGGGAGGGGAGAGGGAGTTAGGAGGGAAAGGAGGGGAGAGGTGGGCATGAGGGAGCAGGGAGATTGAGTCAGAGAAAGAATAGAGGAGAGCAAGAAAAGAGATGCCATAGTAGAGGGAGCCATTATATGGTTAGAGAAATCTGGTACTAAGGAAATGTCCAGAGATCTACAAGGATGACCTCAACTAACAATCTAAGAAATAGTGGAGAGGCTACCTTAAATGCCCTTCCCCAATAATGAGAGTACTACCTTATATGCCATCCTAGAGCCTTCATCTAGTAGCTGATGGAAGCAGAAGCAGACACCCACAGCTAAACACTAAGCTGAACTCTTGGAATCCAGTTATAGACAGGGAGGAATGATGAGCAAAGGGGTCAAGACCAGGCTGGAGAAACCCACAGAAACTGCTGACCTGAACAAGGTGGAGCTCATGGACTCCAGTCTGATAGCTGGGAAACCAGTATAGGACCAACCCAGATTCCCTGAATGTGGTGTTAGTTGGAAGGATTAGGCAGTCTATGGAGCCTCTGGTAATGGATTAGTATTCATCCCTAGTATAAGAGTGGACTTTGGGAGACCATTCCACACATAGAGGGATACTCCCTCAGCTTATACACATGGGGGAGGGCCTGGCCCTGCTCCAAATGATATGACAGACTTTGAAGACTCCCCATGGAAGAAGGCCTCACCATCCCTGGGGAGCAGGAAGAGGATCAGATGGGGGTTGGAACAGGGGAGGAAGGGAGGGTGCAGGAACTAGGATTGATATGTAAGACAAGCTTGTTTCAAATAAAAAGGTTATTTAAAAAACAACAAAAATATGATTGTCTACATTATTAAGGGCCAGTGGTCATGTCACAGGAACAGCAGAATTTACTTCAGTGGACCAAAACACCAGGAAACAAAACCTGATGTGTAAATCTTATATACGTACAGACCACAAAATGTCTATAGCATCTGCTGGGCCTTCCGGTGTCTGCTGCTGCCATCTTCCTCTGGGATCTGCCATGCTGTGAATGGGCATGGAGAGATCGGCATTGCTCTCAATGCCATGTGACCATCTCTTGGAAATATCCCATTCTACTGGGCATTTTTACCTGTGGATTATTTTGAAGATGATTTTTTTCCAAAGCTGTACTGTCCAATTGATAATAATATTGTTAGTTTAAACAAAGTTTTGGTGACAAAAATATAAAATAAGGAAGTATCACATTGCTAGGACACATGAGTTTCTATTGAAGACTCCTATAGTCTGTGACTTAGGTTAATTAAGAAAAACAATTGAGTCCCAGTAGCCCAGCTTGTTTAAATTCTTCTAATCTTAATGTTGGGAGATGTGTTCACAGGTTTCAGAGTGTAGCATAGCGAAACAAAGCTTTGAAAATAACTTGGAGTTAGGCTAAGATGTTATTGTTAAATAGCTTTGAGGTGAAAAACATAAGAAGACAATCTAAAGTTTTAGAAAGGCACATAGTTGAGTGAGGAACTCTTTAAGTTCAGGGAAAAAGATTTTACAAATCAGCCTAATTATCATTACCTGATGTGTTGTTCTTGCTAGAATTGGTTGATGACCAAAGCTGATGATTAATACCTATTTTTGCCCTCCATTTCCTGATACAAAAAAATTGATAAATGGGTATGCACCCTAAAGATTTAAATTAGAGTTGAGTGATTGTTTTTCATGTACAAAGGTTTAGGTTTGTGAGTTCTTGAAGATTCCTTCTAAGATGATCTTTCAAGATTAGTAATAAAGTAATTGGTCCTTTCTTTATGACCACAAAACGCAGCTTGCCAGTAAAAGCATACCTTGCTTGCCTACACTGTTAACCTATAACAAGTTGATTGGATTCTTGGGATTATTTATTTTTCACCTGTAATATATTTAATCATGTTAAGGTATATGGAAAATATGCTTTTTTAAAAACTTGTATTCATTGTAATCATTCACTTGAAAAAACAGAATGAAACAACATTGTAATTTCTATATTGCCTGAAAGATTTTGTTGTAGTAAATACGTTATAGAGGAGAAATACAGGAGAAGGAAAATAAGGAAGAATAAAAATAGAATGAGAATGACAAAATCAAGAGAGACAGAAGGGACATTTCTAGATAGAGATAAGGAAAGGGAATATAGAATACAGAACAGAATACAAAAGGAAAATAAAGAGAAGGGTCTGAAGGAAACCACCAGGAGTGTGTGAGGTGTCTTTTCCAAAAAGGTCACAGTATGCCAACTCCGTAGATTTCCCTTTGAGCACTGTGCTGCTGGGTGTTGGCCCCCCCAGGCAACAAAAAACAAGCAGCTTGATAGTTGTTGTACACTTGTGCATTTTCAGATATTCCTGTGTTGTTTCATATTTTATCATTGCTACTACTTTTTTCTGTTTTGTGGTTTACTCAGAGTATATCATTTTGGAAGACTGACTTAGACTGAATACATACTATGTAGGTTTGACAAGAAAGTCAGTTAGGATTAAACTTTAACTCATTCATTCATCACTCAATGTGGTGAACTCTCTGCTATGTGTCAGGCTGGGCTCTGCACCGTTACGCGCATTTGACAATCGGAATACATATATGCCCAAAATAAATAAAAATGTATACCACACTATGGGTAACTGACCCTTCTTGATGGAATCAGGCAAGCCATCGAAAGTAACATTTTACTGAATCTGGAATAAATAGAAGTGAAATATCGAGCATCTGTGTAAGCAGGAGCAGGCAGGGTCATTATTAGTGGACATAGAATAAACATGGGAAAAAGTACAGAATTATAAAAGGATCTGACTTTTGGAACACACCTTGAGTTGAGTGTCTGTGGG